ATGAGAAAATTTTGCCAAAAAAAAATGTTTAAGGTTAAAAAAAAAAACAGCCTCAAAAAAAAAGTTCGAACCTATATAAAGAGATTTTTATTCAAATTCTATATATATATTAGGATTATGATTTTAGGTTTATTTAGGTTATTTCAATTCTATATATGTATATGTATATATATATATATTAGGTTTTTATGATATATTTTGTATGATATAATTATGATATATTTTAGGTTATTCAAAATTTTCAATTAAAATTAATTAATATTAATTTCAAATTTCATTCAATATTTTCCATTATTTTCATTATTTCGATCGATTCCGATATCAAAAAAAAAATAACATACACAAAAAAAGATACAAAAAAAGATACACAAAAAAGAGATACACAAAAAATACACAAAGAATACACAAAAAATACACAAAAAATACACAAAAAATACACAAAAAAAACATAAAAAATACATAAAAAAAACACCCATAAAAAATAAAAAAATTACAACTCGCACAATTACTTTTACTTTCGATTTAGAACAATGAGAAAATTCTGTAAAGTACAAAATAAAAAAAAAATCATTATTATTATTATTAAATATTTATTCTATTTATTTATTTATATATTTTATTTATTTATTTATTATTTTTTAATACTACAATGATATCTTTTCTTTGATTGAATAAATCTAGGTAATTCATTTGAAAATTAAAACATTTCCTTTTATTATTCAACATTAAGTGTGTTACATTTTTAGGGGTGAGCAAAATTTTATTAAAAAATGAAACAAAAAAAAAAAGTTGAACGTATCACAAATTTTTTTTTTTTTTGCCATTGTATTTTATTTTTTTTTGTATAAGTACAAAATTTTATTCATTGTATTATCACGAAAAGAAGGGTTTTTTTTATATATTTATTCTTTTGTTTAACCATGGCGTAGAATGACTTTTTAAAAAGAATTATTATTCTTTTTATTATTATTCAATTATTATTTCAATGGAACTAAACAAAGTTACACTTTTTTTTTACAATGAATGAAAAATGGTAATGGATTCCAATTATGTAAATTCCCGCTTAAAAAATTCGCCTATTTCGTTTTAATTCATCCTAAAAATTCTTCCTAAATTCGATATTAATTCGCTTAAATTGTTAAGATTTTGAAAGATGAAAATCTTTTCCATATTATAACAAATGATTCTAATTTGATTGTTATAATTTGAAATTTTTTCAAAGGACCAATTCCGAACAATACGCAGTATCGATCATATGATCATTCATACTTTTACATAGATGGTAAAGTTCTTTTTAAACTTAGAATATAAAGGGATTATTATGGTACCGATTAATTTTTACAAATCAATAAATAACGATGTTTCATTAAACCTAATTCATCAAGTAAAAACTTTTGATTCATTCAATGGATGGATAAAATAATTGCCATGAATAAATAATCCATTTGTTTTAAGTTAAAAAAAAAAAAATTTTTGTACATTTTGTACATTTTGTAAACTTGACATGTGAATATTTTTTTGGTTATCGGTAGAAATGACGGAACGGTTAATCTTAACTATTATTCAGTTCAGTTTTACATAAAATGTAATTTCAATGAAAAAAAAGAAAAAAGGAATATTTTTTTTTAACAAGTTAAATTAATTGGCGTAATATAAGTGGTTGAATACTACGCCAATATGAACAAATATGGTAAATCAGATTATGCTGCGGTACATTCTCAATAATAAATATTATAAGTATAAGAAAAATGCAAATTTTGATTGATGCGCCACAACATAAAAGGATCAAAACAAACAAAGAAAAAAAAAAAAAAAAAGAACAAAAGATAAAAATAAAGAAAAATAAAAAAAAAAAGGGTTCAAAATTTATTTACTATTCTTTTTTTTTATTATTTTTGATTATCTGTCATCGATCGACCGTCGTAAATTATTTCAAATTATCAAATATTGTAACAATCACTTACATTATAGTAAACTTTATCGGAAATTTTTTTTTAACAAAGAAGAGAAAGGATCTTTGGTTCTCCTTCGGGACAAAGAAAATCAAATCATAAAAAATCAAGATTTTTTGCTGACCATTTTTTTTTGATTATTAATATTATTAATATATGTATAATACATAATACTATATATATATATATAAACTGGTCAAATTTGGCTTAAATAACGCGTTTCTCATTCAAAGTGACGCAACAAGCTAGTATGGAAAGTTTTTACCAAATTTCGGAAAATTAAGGGGGATTAGCCTGTTTATCATAAATCAGAAATTATCTGATAAATTAGATAAGTAAGTTGGAACAACCTTCGTTTGTCCTTAAATGGTGAATATTACGTAAGTACGCATACACATTACGTATGAACTTTATCGATATCAAATTAATCATCATCAAACTTGATTTGTTCTTTGGTAATTTTTTGGCGTGTTTGAATGTTTGATGGGGCAAAAAATTTTTTTCCCTAGAAATATATTTAGATATTTATTACACATAAATATAACACGTGTACATGACACAGCCACATAATTCACATAATTGTTAATATATATAAGACAAAATTGGAAGGAGGAATAAATAATAGCGAATTCTCTTAAAAGGTAAATTCCCGTTTGAACAAAAAGATATGAAAAGATATTCACTTGTTTATTTATTGTTGTATATCATGTTACATTTGAACAGGGGGAAAAAGTTAATCTGTTTAAACAAGGGTAAGGCAATTCTTATTGGGTAAATTAATTTTATTGGTCAAGTTGATATGCACGAAAAATATTTTTAATGAAAAAGTGAGAAAGATAAAGAGAGAAAATAGAGAAGGAATAGTATATATAATAAATTATAGTTACATTAATACTTGTAATATGTTTAATATGTAAGGATATGTAAGGGATTTGAGTAACATTTATACGTACAGTAAGTAGTAACAGTAGTAACTGTAGTATTCTTGTTAGAAAACTCGTTTTTTAGAAAACTCGTTTTTTTAAGAAAAAAAAAAAAATTTTAACTTTTTAATTACGGAAATTATGAAAATAGATGAATTTATAGATTGTAATATAAATAATATAAATAATATAAATAAATATATATGATATTTATATGATATTTATATATAATATCGTACACATATACAGTCGGTATATAAATAATATATAAATATATAACAAACAAAAAAGCAAAAATATAGTTTTGGCTTATCAACCTAAAAACTAAAGCCTAAATACCAAATCCTGTATTAAAACTAATCTTAGAAATTACGTAAAATTGGAAAATTGTGGAGATTAAACTTACTATTAATCACTAATTTAATTGCTAATTTAATTACTATTTAATTACTTTAATTACTTTAATAAAATTACTTGATTAAAAATTACTTTGATTACATTTTTTTTTAATTACATTTTTTTTTAATTACATTTTTTTTTAATTACATTTTTTTTTTAATTACTTTTTGCTTTTTAATTACATTTTGCTTTTTGATTACTTTTTGCTTTTTGATTACATTTTGCTTTTTGATTACTTTTTTTAAAAAAGTGATGAAATTAAATACGTAATATCTATCAATATACTATGCGGAGAGTATAATAAGCTTATCTTTAACGATAAGCTTAAATGATGAAGAGACCAAAATTGTAAAAAATAATACCGAACGAGTAATAATAATTGAATACCTATTAGAGCAATTACAATAAGAACTGTGGCCAAGTTTGGACAATATAAACAAAATGTCCCAAATAATCAAAATGACCAAAAAGACCGCAGCATGAGCCCATACCGTATTTTACTATGCACCTATGCACGAATTATAACTGAAATTCTCATTATAATTATGGTTTATGCATATCAATTCTACTATAGGTTAGAAAATAAACTATGTATAACATTTTAAGTTTTTTTAGCCATTTTAAACAGAATATTCAAATAGAACAACAATTTCGGTGATGGGATATCATCCGAGATTATATTTTAAAAACCGGTTTTATATCTAGTATCTTTTTTTATTACGCGTGTTTTATTGCTTATAAATGCGCACACACCCTCTTTCAAAAAAAAATTTTTAAAATAAATCCTATCTCGGCAATCGGCACAATGAAAATCGTTGGTGTTACTATACGGGAATTTTTGACATTTGAAAAATTTTTTTTTTTTTTTTTTATTTTTTCCAAGATGCAGTTTTATTTATTTTTCTTTTTTTTTATTTCTCATTTAAAGTAGAACCCTTCTTTTTTTATTTTTACCCGGTTATATTTTGTTTATATAAAATTTATTTATTAATAAAAAAACTTTTAAAAACGAACTGAAAAAGACCTATAATTATTTTTTATTCTTTTTTTAAAAATTTTTCTTTTTTCAGATTCCTAATTTATAATTCCTATTACAAGATATATAAAAGGAAATTTAGTTATCTGGATAGGGCAGAACATTTCTTATCATAATTTTATGTGATGCAAAAGGACCATTAGGACCATTTTCACCGAAAACTGATTCCACGTGCTTGAATCAACTTAAAAACAAAAAAAAAAATCTTCGTAAATAATTCATCTGAGCCTTTCTCTCTCTTTCTTCAACTTTTCTTTCTTTTCCACTTTTTCAAGGAAAAAAAAAAAAAAAAAAAAAAAAAAAAAAAAAAAAAAAAAAAA